CAAAGAAGAAGAATAATCCTAATGAGTTTTTAATTCGAAAAAAAAATTAGGAAACTTAGGAGGAATTTTTTAGGGATTCGCCTATAATTTTTTTAAATCGCCTTAAAAATGTGGGTGCCAAATTTTATGCCTGTATACCTAATAACCATATTTTTGCTCTATTAAGCGGTTATCCTCTGTAGATACTATACGAACACAAAACGTGTGGAAAAAACATGCACAAGGACCAAACACTAGCAAATCAAACCAGCTCTGGGACTCTGTGCTCTATAGAATTCTTCAGCTCGCTTTCCATAGTAGATATCTATTTTCAAAAGCGATAGGCGGCTGAAACGGCACTCTGTGTCACTATCGACAACAGTTCGGCTACGTTCTCGGATCCTTATATCGTGCTACTAACCATTCGAAAAACGTAGTACAAATCTAAGGGAAACTCTAGGGAATTTTTATTTGATTCCTAAGAAATGTCAGTATTATTTATTGAATTGACTGTATACGTCATTAATAAGTTTGTTTTTGTTATTATTTGGTTTGCTTGTTTATACCATAACTATTTTTGCGTCCTGAAATTTGAGTTTAAGTTTAAAAATAATGCTTTGTTGCCCATTATTAATTTAAATAACAATATTGTTGAAGATGAGAAGCTTGAACATATTTGTCTGGAAAATATCCAGTGATGAGTGATGTCCAACCACCAACAACAGTGACTGTTTTCAAAAAGAAGATATTAGATTTGAAAAAATAATCGGGCAAAGCTATAATATTTATGTGGCTACAAACTATGTCAAGAGCAGAGCAATAGAGAAAGTATCAGTAGCCATCAGGGTTCAGTTTCCTGTGACTCAAGACGAGAAAAATATAACTGAAGCAGGATTTATGGAAAAAATTAATTTTCCAGGTGTGATTACTATCACACGGCTGATGGAACCCACAGTGAGTGAAATTATTAGACCACATGACGAAGAACCCTGGCTAAAACACTGCTCCAGGAACTCCAGAGTTCAATTATAGCCAAAATCACATCCAAACTCGAAATTTTATCGGTGTGTTTAAACAAAGATTTGTGTGTACTTCAAAAGTGTTGAGGCATGCTCCAGAAAAAGTTGGGCGCTTTGTTATTGTTTGTGTTATTTTACATAATTGCTCGGAAGAGAGACTGAAGGGATAACATTCAGGTACCTACCGAGGTACCATATAATGTAACGTTATGCAAGCAGGAGTCCAAGCAAGAAACAATTTGATTCGTCGTCATTTAATGCACTGGTTTTCTAAAATGTTTATAAAGATTTTAACCATAATATGTGTTTTATTCCGGGTTTTTCGCTTCTCACTCTCATGACAATGACGGTAATATTAATATTGTTAATATAATCATCCGGAAACCGGCGTCTGCTCGAAATAAACTAATGAAAATATTAAATATTATTAAATAAATAAGAAATAGGAATGGAATAATTATATTTCGATATAAATATGGGATATCAACAACAACAATTTCGCAATTGTCAGTGTCATTCATGAAACTTCACAATGCACATGCGTCAGTAGTATTCGACACGTCTCGAGATGTAGAAATGAAATTATGAAATAAATCGCGTTTTGTCAATATTCTTGATGCACAGAGTGCCATCCATGTAGAATCTTGTTGACTGATAGAATTCTACATGACACAGAGTCCCGCTCGCACACATGTTTTTCTACAGATCTTGAAAATCAATGTTCGAGGCTCGAGTGCAGCAAAAAGTGTTAGAGCATTTATTATCGATCACAGAAGTTTTTTTTTACTTTTTTTCGTATGAGAGTTCTTGAAAATTCACTGGTATACAGTGAGGGGCAAGCTACTAGGTATATAGGATGTAACCTAACGAATTTGCAGGCGTCCGCATGTCAGAAAATGACAAATCGATTTAGCGCTAACCTGGCGACAACCAAGTAAAAAGTTTCTAGGGTTGTTAATAATTTTCAAAAATACGGTTGTTTCTCCCTGAAACCAAACGAAATGACGTCCAGGAAAATAATGAGGATCAAGAAGCCAAATAAATTATGTTGTTGGTTGTTGGCATTAGTTTACAAAACTTCAACTATTTCGACTCGTGCGCTTGCGCAGGATATTGACTCAAGTACAAGGACGGTTAGGAGCCACAGAAAAAAAAAAGTATCGTTCGTACAAAGTAAGAAGCTCCCAAAAAATTGATCCTGAGGCGAATGGATTTTTGTGAAACTGTCATTAATAAGGCAAATGAAAATCAAGATTTTCTTAGAAAAATTGTCTTTACAGATGAGTCGACATTTTAACTCCATGGTCGACATAATCCTAGTCACACCCGTTATTGGTCTAAGGAGAATTTACACAGGTATTTTGAGCTTAGAGCCCAGCGTCGTCAAAAGGTAACTGTCTGGAGCGGTTTTTGTGGATAACATATCATTGGGACGTACTTCATGGACGCTAACTTAACTGGTCCAAAATATTTGGATCATTTGCAACGGGCCAACGGCAGATAATTCCAGAAATTGAAAGATTATCTGGTCCTATAGATTTAATGAAATATGGTATCAATAAGATGGATGTCCAGCCCATAATACGGGTTTCATTCTGGACCATTTGAATAATACTTTTCCGAACCGTCTCATTGCTGGGTCGAGAGCTACAATACTGTGACGCTCTCCCGATCTTGCACCCAACGATTATTTTCTCTGGGGTTATTGCAACTCAAAAATGTATGGTTTTCAGAAGAATCGCGCCGTGAACCTTGAGCAGCTGCGTGTCAAAATTCGAGAAATATATCTGTCAACCCTGTGATGCTAAATAATATTCGTAGAGCCTTCTATGATCGTTTAGGTCATTGTTTAGTTCAAGAAGGTGGACTGGGACTGTTTGAACATTTGCTACATTGTAGTGCAAATGGAAATCGAGCCAGGTTTTTGGGGTCAAAACTAGAATTTTTGTTTTTATTTTACCTAATTTTTTTTCTATTTTTTATGTTGAATATATTTTTAGTTTTTCCTGGATGGCTTTTTTAAAATACATGTTTTTTTTCCATAGATTATTGTTTCGGTTCCAAAAAAAATCTATCTATACACGCCGTTTAATAATTATAAGTACCTAAGTGAAGCTCGGCGATACATCTAAAAGCACGGCCTAGATGCTACGTTTTGCATCAAGTTTTGTCTGCACAGTTCAACACGTGATCAGGTATCAGTAACGTAACGTCTGGACCGGGCTTAAGTCTGTAAAATCATAAAACGTACTGATGTGAACCATGGTTTATGAACGTCAAAGTCATCGAAAAAACGACAGCGCACCGACAGCGACAGGTGTTCAGACGGCTGCGGACGATCGTAAATTCGTCAAGTTGGATCCTATATACCTAGTAGCCTGCCTCTTACTGTATATTATGCGCTTTTCTTTTAGCACTCTGTAAGTACTCTATTTATATATAAAACAACTAGCTGACCCGGCGAACTTCGTACCGCCTCTGAATTATTAAATATACCTATTAAATGTTGTGTTAACGTATCTATTAGGTGAATTAAATTCAGTTTTTTTCGATGGTGAATTTGGCTTTGGTTGAAGAAAATTAATGTTTACTCTCTGGATCAGAAGTCACCTAAAATTAAAATTTTACATCATCCTTTTTTAGGCAGCTTGTGGGCATTATTCTTGTAAAGTGTACCACCAAATAAATAAACTCAGGCACAGGAATGTTCAAAGAATGTAAAGAAAACAAAAAAAATCTCTAGCGCAGCCCTGTTTCACTCTATCTGCACTGCATGCACTGCACTACTCCATCTGTTCTACTCTATCTGCACTACTCTATCTGACCTACTCTTTCTGCACTACTCTATCTGATCAGAATAGTGGAATAGTTCTGTTCGAAATAGCTCCAGTTCCTGAGCAGCATTGTTCTACTGTATCTGCAATGCCGAGCTTCGTTCCAGGTATCCGAGATGGCGCGGTATATAAAATACAAACTACAAAATAAACTTGGTATCGGTTATTAGAGATGGCGCCGTATAAGGGCTTAGTATTTTTTTTTCAAAAATAAATAAAATAAGTAATGAAATGACCACATTAATGACATAACAATATGCTGGTACTGTCAACGCTGAAAAAAGTTTCAATTTGACAGGCCCTGCGATCTCTCATTGCCAGTTATAAACCACATAATAACTCTTTTCCGTTTTTCTAGATGTCGCTGACAACCACCGAATTGTCAAAATTGTAAAATACCAGCACATCAAGAACACGTCCGATGTCGATAACTGACATGTCAACATATGACAATATGCCAAAATATTCATTTGATCATAACTAATAATTCATAATGTTTTTTGTTCGTCGGTCTTGCATTTCATCTTTCTTTGTGTTGTCAAGTGTTCTTAAGTGATTTCAAAGTTGTTTTGTGTGTTTCAAGAAGAACTTCAAACTTTATAGATTGGAAGATCTATTTTTATCTTTGTTGATTAGATAAATGACAGGTTCAATTAAACATCAATCAGAACTTTGAATAAATATGTTAAGGGCCGATACTTTTGCTCTCGATTAACGAATTTGATATGTTGTCAAAGTTTTGCATGGGCCAAGGTCTATAAGAATGATGTGGTTAGAGCACATTCTAAGCCCTGATTATTTTAAACCGCTGTCAAATGAGAGCAAAAGTACCGGCACTAAGGATACCCTTAACCATCGATAAAGAAACTGTCATTTGATCTAATTAACAAATTATCAATTAATTTAAGCAAACATTAATGCCCCAAAGTCTAGAATAAACGAATTTGAACAGACCGTCAATAATGCGAACAGGGCGCCATCTATCATAAAATGTCCTATGTAAAGTAGGTGTCTGTAGAATCGATGCAAAACCAGTAAATAGTGATTTTCCGATATGGTAGATGGCGCTGGCATGGCTCATTTTTGTTGACAACAAAATTTAAACTGAGATTCCATTCTCGACAGTTTATATATAGTATTTATCTCTGATTTGACAGCAAAATCCCCATTAACAAAATGATCCTCCATTTATTGAATAATTCATTTATTACAAAAAATGTGATAAATGAAGAACCGCTCGACCGGTTTTGTGCAAACTTCACATAAACCATCTAATAAATAGTCAGAAAAAAGCCTAAATATTTGGTTTGGCTAGGTGAGCCCGTTCTTGAGTTATAAAATTACAACGAAAAGTGGCATTAATTTTTATATATATAGATAATTAGTCTACAATTGCCCTGGCTTCGATGATCCTCTTGTACCAATCGGCTGAGCTCTTGTATGTCCTGTTTCTTAACGGACTATCAAAGTCAACGTTGACTATTCCAAAACGTTGACTAAAAATAAAATTTATTATTTCAACTGCTCCTTTTTTAAGCAAAAGCTCTTACGAGTATCCATCAGCCCATTCGAAATTATCCAAAAGACTCCATAATGTGTATCCAGTGACGTTAATACCATCTTCAAGGATTGCGTTCAAAATATTAGTTAAATATTCCTGAAAAATTCAAACATTTATACCGTGAAATAAGAATTAACTTTTCAAACCTTCAAATAAGTGATTCTTTTCTGATCATCCAAATCCCCAGTGTCAGCCCAACCATTTTCAGTGATAATGATTTCGGAGGGATTATATTTTTTTTGAATTAAGTTGAGAAGGTTTCTTGTTCCTGGTGGGTCAGAGTTTAGCCAGGAAGCGGTGCTTTTGATCCATGAGGAATTTATTGAAATGGGCGTGCCTAAAAAATAGATTGCTACAAAAAAAATTCTTAGTTTAAGATATTTTTTACCTATATCTAACAAGAATGATGGAGTCGAAATTGCCGCATCTTCCTTATATTCCACAATAACGCTTGTGTATCTGGAAAAACAAATTTGTGAATAAATGTAAGTATTGAAATATCTTGATAATCTCTTACAAATTTAAAGAAAAATAATCATAAGTCCCAGAAATATAATCAATTTCTTCTTCAGAGAATTCTGGCAATCTAGAGAAAGAATAACCTTCTAATCTACTTCTGTTAGCTACTCTATCGATGACTACTTGGGGCCAATTGCGTTTGAAGATGGCATTAGTAAACAGTCCAACCTGTGAGAAAAAATATTTAATATATTTTGTTGTTAGAAAAATGGTAGATATCTTACAACAAATTCAAAAATCCTATCGACAGCTTCAGCATCCAACGTGCTGTTGGTCTTAGGATAGTAATTGGAACTCGGTACATTAATGGTCACTTTTCCATTATATAGAGATTTAAATTCGGTTTCGTAGATTCTGTAGGCCTTAGCGTGAGCTTTCAAACTGTTTTGGGCGCAAAGGTAGACTCCTTCGCCGATAAGAGTTTTGCCTGGGGCTAGGATAGCCTATTAGAAGAGCATTACTTGGTAAAAATGAATGATGAATATTCTTATTATTTTCAATAAGTAGTAGTAACTTTTTTAGAGATGAGTTCAGAAATACTATAATAATAGTTAACAAGTCTGAAAGGTGAAACGTATTTTTTCATTTAAATACAAAAAGTGAAATATAGATTCAAAGTGGCAAGTATATCCTATTCATCAATCACAAATCGAAAGTATTTACCTGGCCATAACCAAGGACGCAAGTAGTACTCGGTTCATTGATGGTAACCCAATAATTGACATAAGGTCCCAGAGCTGTGTAAACGACCCTAGCGTAATCTCCAAAATAATCAGCAATTCTGGGGTTCAACCAACCACCAAGGTCTTCAAGATATTGGGGCAAGTCCCAATGGTACAAAGTGACCAATGGTTCGATATCGTTTTCGATCAGTTCCTAACAATAAAATTCGCAAAATAAAGGTTTTTATGAACATGTAAAGCTCTCACCTTAACCAAATTGACATAGTAATCGATACCAGCTTGATTGATGCTGTATGGACGACCATCAGGCATAATTCTCGACCACGAAATGGAGAATCTGTATAACTTGACACCCAAGTCCTTGAGAATAGCAACATCTTCTTTGTATTTGTGATAAGAGTCAGAAGCGACGTCTCCAGTGGAATTGTCTCTAATTTTGCCTGCTGTATGTGTGAAGGTATCCCAAATATTTATTCCTTTTCCATCTTCATCCCAAGCTCCTTCAATTTGATAGGCGGCAGTAGCTGCTCCAAATTTGAAATTGTCCGGAAACAATTTTTGAGCTGAAGCTCTTAGGAATTTGTAATTTATTAAATCAAAATTATGTATGAATATGAATATTGAACTTACCTACAAAGAGCCACAGCTAATATGATCAAGCAAAACCTGACCATTGTTTGATGATAATTAAAAATAACGGAACTTTTGCTGTGTCTTTCAAATCTTACGGGGATCGCAGGTATTTATTCTAGCGCCGTCCTTATCGTTGAAACTGCTTATTTAGTGTTGTGTTACGTGAATAATTAAGCTTGTATAAGCCTAAGAATTAAACTGTGCTTGTTATTGGCCTATTCTTTTATATGATAATTAATATTTTAAGAACTTAATATTGTCAGCCTGATACCACTTCCTATCATCACTCCGAAGTTCAGCTGGGTTCAGGACGAATTAACAATTTTTTACCTACTTAGTAGGTATTATTGATATTTCAAGAAGTTTTAATTCATCAGAATGGAAATCTGAGAGACGTTTTTTTCTTTTTTTTAATCATACTTGTTGCAGGTTTCTTAATCGTTTGTCTCGGTTATTTTTATTGCGGTTTAAACTTGATTTTCGACATGTAGAACATGTTATAACCAAAAAATGTTAAATTAATCCAGAAAAGGAATAAGTAAAAAACCGACAGGTTTTACCGGAAATTAAGAAACCATCACTAATCTAACTCGTAGGTATCTAGTGATTTTATTTTACTATTAGTTTTATGTTATATTCGTTTATACTACCGCCACACTGTCAAGTAAGATGAAATAGTTTTTGATTTTTTTCTTCAAAATTCTAATTTTATCACGGCCAGATGGGGCGTTCCTTTTGGTTTCTATAAATAAGAATTTAGCTTCTCTTCATTGTTTTATAGGGCACAACCACACGTATTGTGTAATCTGGCCATGAGTCATTGTATAGATTATTAAAAGTTGGCGCACTTGTGTTTTTCGTAGATACTTTTTCGTTCATAAACTTGAATCTATGAACTCCATAATAAAAATTCTACACAAAATAGGTACCTAATGAATGTGTTTTGATGCAATTTTGAATAGATTTGCCCTAGTTTCTATTACCTGAAATTGGAAGTATAACAGACAGACACTGCCTGTGAATCGATGCAGAAAAAAAGTTAGCAGATATCCATACACTTGACAAAACAATAATAAATAAGAAATCAAAACAAACGTCGATCAAGAAAGCTTTCTGTGAAGCATGTTAATAGACTTAATGCCAATGCAAGGTTATATAGTTTTTTCTATCGGCAACCTGAAAATCGTTGAAAATTATTGGTCAAAATATCAAAAAGCACTGGTAATGGACGTAAAGGTTGCTGCCTGATAAAGTGTTGCTAAGCACATTTAATGGTACCTACTTTACCACTCAAGTATCACATTACTGTTAAAAATGCGATAAAAAAGATTTCCAACCTGCAAAATTTAGAAATCACGATAATAAAGCTGGTCAAGAAATATCTGTGGATCAGGAAGAGAACGAATGTTTATGGGAAGTAGAAGGCGAAAATCTGATTTATAAATCGAAAGATGATAGATAGCACGCAATGATCGAAAATACCATTTTCTAAGAACTTCCTAAGAAGTATCATTTTCATCATGGGGTGCCGAATGTACCCCTCGTGGGAATCCACGTTATTTTTTTTTCATAGGAAGTTGAAGGAAGGTGAATAATTTGAGGCTTGTTGTCAGCTTTTAACGAGTCAAGAATTGATAGATTGATAGGGATAAAATTTAAGTATACTTGCTATAAAAATTGTATTATTGGAATTTCGTTTTTTTGGTATTAGTGATTCTTATCAATTTATTAACAAAAATGTAACCTGGGAAAATGAGGAACTTTACTAGACATGGTATGTCAAAGTAAAACGAAGTTGATGCAGCAATATTGCGACATGCTAACGTCATAAATTTTGATGACATGCAACCATTAAATTTATTTCCTGCTGAACTATTATAACCTTGGTAACGATAAGGGTCTCAACTCCCGCGCGGGAGTTAAGGATTTCATAACTCCCGCGCCAGACTTAAGGATATCATAACTCCCAAGGGAGTTAAGGATTTCCATAACTCCTGCTTTTACCTTGAATAGGTGAAACTTTGACAAAAAATAGAAATTTTGGTTTATGGTTTATTCCTTCATAAAAATGGACAAAATACAGTGAATTCAGTAGGAAATAAAATTACCTATGTACTACGGGAATTATCAGGTGTTAATACCCACGATCAATTGGGACACAAACTTTGCCCTGGAGTATTAACACCCTCATAATTCCCTTGATATATAAATAACTATAATTTCCCTATATACTACGAGAGCCCATGACACAAAAGCCTTTGTCATCTGTTAGAAGGCCGTTTTTTGGTGGCCCGGTATGCCAAGTCCTCGGTCAACTAAAAAACGTAATGGTTGGTGGGTTTCGGTGTGCAGAAGCTGAGGAGTGGATGAATTCTCACTACCCCAAAATAAGGCTTTCTGCCTTATGAGTTAGAAGCTTTTTTTTGTTGTTGTGAATAAATAATAGGGACCTACAGAGGGCTGAACAGGAACGGTTGGCGGCCCTTCTCCCTCTCTTCACCATGCCCACCGCGTTTTAGGTGAGATTCCCAATGGAAGTTCCTACCTCACAAGTCAGAAGGACGAAAAAAAGTAGAAATTATACATTTCCACTTCCTCGTCTGTTCTGCGCTGAGTTGGCAGCCGGTTGGCGCTCTATTGTTTATTTAAACATATGTTTTTGCGAAATTGAAGTTGTATTTTCCCTCACTATAATCTAAAGAATTAGTGGGGGTTTTTACAAATTTCACATGGATAAAAAAAATAATACACAATACACAATACAATTTTTTTCTGCAAGGAGAAAAAAAACATCAGAATGGCTTACATCCCACATCAGAGTGGCTCAAATTTTGCATAAACCTCGGCAGAATTCTTTGATCTATTATCTACTATACCCATACTTTTATCAGGGAGGGCGCAGGTTATGAATTATGAAAAATAATTTTTTAAACATTTATTTTAGCTTTATTTATACTTTGTGAGGATGTGCAGGGTGTTCCAATTTGGAAACTTTTGATAAGAAACGTAAATTTCTGAGCCCAGATACAAAAAAATGACCCCCCCCCCCCACTGAGGATCAAATTTCATTATAGAGGATGTTTCTGGATTTTGAGCAATACTGTGAAACCTTATCACTTTTGAAGTGAAAACTTCTTCAGAATCGTTGGGAGTGATTTGAGACTCGACTCGATAAAACGAAAAAGCGACACTGAAAAGAGACAAACATATAGATCTATGGGATTTAGCTGGCTAGAGAATAAGATGGAATACTTTTGTACAGCGTTCCCTATTGTTGGTCTCCTTTTTGTGCGGTGGTTCGTAGCCTCCCCACTCTTGTCTACCAAGCGTTGTACCAAAGAATATTATAGTTAACACTTATAGGAAACCTACGCTTATGGGCGACGGCAGACCGCTAGAGGCGCTGCTCCGGTGGTATAAATTGAAATAATTTATATTCGCGCTAGCTTTCCGGCAAACAAATTTTAGCAGCGTTGCGCGCTCCTCCTCTCGGGCATTTAATATTTACTGTGATTTTACCTTGTAAGATGATAGACTAACTGGCGCGGCGGTTTTAGAATATTATTTTTTACATCGACATTATTAGATGATATGTGAAAAAAAAACAAAAGTTACAATAAATCATATAATAGACATTCATAAAATAATACAGTTGCTATACTGAATACCTTGTTGTTACGTTGTTATGTATATCTATATATATAAAACACAGTTGTGTTGGTGTTGAGCACTTATAACTCGAGAACGGCTGGACTGATTTTTATGATTTTTGCTTTATTGGATTTGTCTTTGTCCATCCTACGGTAATAAATCGAAAAAAATAAATAAAAAAAACATAAAAAAAAACAAAAAAAAAAAAATATCTATTTTACTTATTTATGGAAAAAACTCACTAAGCCCGCATACGGCGCCATCTCTTATAACCGATACCAAGTTTACCGTCACATTTTCATTGCAAACCATGTGGATTTTATTGTCACACACTTTGCAAAAAAACAATTTGAGGAAAGCACTTTATTTTTAATTGTTCTTCACAGTGAAAATGTCCAAAAATAAATAGAATGACAATGTTTTAATTGTGTATTTTATTTTGTTGTTGGTTCGTTCATTCCGAAAGAGCGCGAACTGGTCTCCCTGTCATTTCTTGACGCTTGACCATTGACGTTCTGTGGCTAAGTTCCGTTTCTCCTCTTAGGCATCCCTTGACAGCCGTGTTCCGTGGCGACTGTTCGGAGTGCTCCGTCCGGCTGGTGTCGAGTGGCAGAGAGCCAGGCTATGAGTCCGCCACAACCATTTTGTATACGGCACCATATATGATAGGTACCTAGAACGAAGCTCGCCGTTGTGCGGTAATTTCATTGCAGATACAGTAGAACAGAATACTGCTAAGGAACTGGAGCTATTCCAAACAGAACTATTCCACTATTCCGATCAGATAAAGTGGTGCAGAAAGAGTAGATCAGATAGAATAGTGCAGATACAGTAGAACAGATGGAGTATTGCAGTGCAGATAAAATGAAACAGGGCTGCGCTGGAGATTTTTTTTGTTTTCTTTACGTTTTTTGAACATTCTTGTGCCTGAGTTTATTTATTTGGTGGTAGACTTTATAAGAATAATGCCCACAAGATGCCTAAAAAGGGATGATGTAAAATTTTAATTTTAGGTGACTTCTGATTCAGAGAGTAATAATTAATTTTCTTCAACCAAAGCCAAATTCACCATCGAAAAAAACTGAATTTAATTCAGTTAATATTTTTTTTTTTTTTTTTTAAAGATAATTCCCCAATTCAAAAATTTAGTTAACTATGTTGGCAACACAAGCCTTTTCTACATAAAAATTTTGAAAGCATTGACAATTTTACATTGTATTGCCAACATAATGTCATTTTGACTTTTATCTTAAAAAAAAAAACGCACTTTAGATACGTTAACACAACATTTAATAGGTATTTAATAATTCAGAGGAGGAACGAAGTTCGCCGGGTCAGCTAGTAGGAAATAAAATCGGTCTTCTAAATAGGTAATGTAATTTAATATAAAAGAAACATCTATTCTGATAAATATTAGGTAGGTACTTAATTATACATGAAAGAGAAAATATATAAACTAAAACAGAGCATAATCTG